TACAGAGTTGTACTTAGAGCTGACAAAACACCTGTAGGTCAACACAAAAGACAGTACAGTGTCCAAACAATTAATGAAATGGCGATTGTTATGGTTGGCGAAGACTTTAACTTGCGTGATATAATTCTTCATCGCAGAAATGGTGATGTTCAGCGAGTCTCAGAAACTCATCGCACATAGGGCAGATGGCAACATCTAATTTTTTTTGGCAAGGAGAAGATGGATATCATTTCAATATCAGATAGAGAAATCGACAAACACATGAGATGAATAAGAAAGTCAGTGCATTGAATTATTTTTTATATTGATTGATAGTTTGTAAAAAAAAACTGATAGTCATATCTTGAAATGTCGACAATTGTTCTACCAAAACATTGTCGATTTGTGTGCGAAAATTGAAACCAAGCGACTCCTCTATATTCAATTAAATCAAACTAATTCGTGTACAGAGAAGTACATTTAGTCACGTGATGCAATTGTTAATGATGGCAATGTGAATCCCAATGAATTGGAAAAAAATGGTCATATTACCAGCCACATTTACAAGAAGTCCACGACACATCCATGAATATGCACAAGATGGAATGACATATGTTCGCGTACATGGCCGTCCAGATTTATTTATCACGTTTACATGCAATCCTACATGGGATGAAATCAAAGAACTTTTGTTACCTGGACAATTATTATCAGATCGTCATGATATTACAGCGCGAATGTGTTTAAACAAAAATTGAAATCTTAAATGGATTTTATTGTCAAGTATCGTCTTTTTGGAGAGACCTGCAGTTGGATGTATTTCACCGAATGACACAAAAGAGGATTGCTACATGCACACATGTTGATTTGGATCACCAACAAACCCATACCAGATCAGATTGATCAAGTCATCTCAGCAGAAATAAAAGATGGCAACATTGATCCAGACTTATTTGAAGTCATAACCAAAAACATGATTCATGGTCCATGCGGCTTACTCGACAATAAGTCACCATGCATATCTGATGGAACATGCATGAAACAACGCCCAAAAGACTAGCATGCCGATACTATCACTGGCAATGACAGATATCCTCTCTGTCGTCGACGATCAGCTGAAGATGGCGAAAAATCCATCACTTTAAAAGTGCGATGATGGTGTTTTTCACACCCTTACCTGACCAGTCCGGGGCGATAGCACTAGCCATGTGGCGTCAAATCTTCTGGCTCACGACTCCCTGTATACTCCGATTGTAAAACAGAAAGCAGTGACATTATTTTAGTTATTGTAGTGGTGGTAGTGGTAGTAGTTTTACCTCCGTCTCTAAAAAAAAAAAAATACAACCAGTTTTAGCATGTGATAACTAAATAACCATTTTTATAAACTGTCCTAAAAATACAATTTAAACGACCATTAATATAAACACACAAATATATGTTTCGTGTTCTAAAGTCGGCAAACCAGACTATCTCTGTATCTGTGCAGAAAATGATTGCGACATTACTTACATTAAAAACGTGCAATTTCTATTGTCTTTCTTTTCCAAGACCCTTCGATGAGGGAGAGAGTAGAAGATGGCTTGGGGAAGGGGGGGGGGGGGGCATCGGAGACTAGCAGGGCATTTCTATTGTCTTTCTTTTCCATTTAGCTAAACTATGCCACAGCAACGCGGGGCGGCGTACATCTAGTATATATAAATAGTGTATGTGTTATGAAGGATCAGGTATTAAATCGCAGCCTTGAAACTGATCACAAACCCAACTTTCAGACCGAAAAGCAAGAGTCTAGTAACTACTACACCACAACTCGCCCGATACGTCTGCTATAGTTTAAACACTATGTTATTTTTGCAAGCACAGTACAAATTATCTTTATGAGAACAAACAGTTATACCGCCAACACACTTCGTTACTCTGTAGTCCGCTGTAGCTGCAACAGTGCACATTATACAGTTTTTTTTTTTTTTTTTGGGGGGGGGGGGGGGGGGGGGGTGGTGGTCATGGCAAATATGAAAAACAAAAACGATAAACCTTGGTATTCCATCCAAGTGTTGCACCGGTAAGAAATAATGTGTAAGGTTACATTGATATAAGCAATTATATTTGTTATTTGCATAAGATTATTTCAAGTAATCAAGGGAGGAAAACTTAATCAGTAACATAGAATCTTTTATTACGGGAGACAATGTCGCATGTGCCGTGAGATGATACAACTTTTGTGCTAAATATAATGCAACAATTAGTTACTGTTGATTGCTCCTTGCTTAAAATAATCCAAACATACTGTATTAACTTTTAACTGAAAAAAATTTCGAACTGCTCAACACAATTATTTACTCAAATTAATACAGTTTCTTGAAGTAAACATCCGATAGCAAAATCATTGCAAGTGTTTTGGAAAGCATCACGACGGCTAACAATGTGCAAAGTAGTCTGTTACATCCGGATAACGCTTGTATATCTTTGGCAGGTGCACATAGATGTGCCTTATAATAATTAGCATGAAAGAAATAAGAGAAGGAGAACGAGAGTTGGTGGAAGGTTAGGCTTAGCTGATTTATGCAGTGCAAAATCATTTACACTAATTTTAGAACAAACTATTTTTTTTTTTTAAATTTACAATTTATCATTTTTTTTTTTTTACAAAACACAACACAATGGCACAGTAAACAGGCGATGAAAACCACACTATCACAAATTATATGCTCATATTATCACACACCCTATACAAAACATCACTGGACCATGTGGAAATACGAAGCATGCCACTCTGCACGAAGCATACCTGTTCAGATCTTCCTCAGCATGCTTTCTGAATCAGTTACAATCACGATGTGTGTGTGGCGTGTTCTCTAGCCAGCCGAAAGTTGCAGGGACCGCCTCCTCCTCCATTCTTAAGCTGGATTTTGTGGTATCATATGCTAATCTCTCCTGCACCAAAAACGTCGACCATTAACCTTTGCTAAGAAGCCCCAAGAACTTCTTTTGCCTCTTGACACTGAACTGTCTGTGTAAATGATCAAATCCTCCGAGCGAACATTATCATAGATTAATTGCTGAATTTCCACCGCTGTGGCACCTGCTGACCAGTCTCTGCATTCCCGGCTCAGCGTGATTATGACTCTACACAAGTCTGACTGCTCAGGTGGCACTTTGAACCACTCCTCTCCTCGCTTAATGTTCTCAAGGATGCAAACCTGTACGATTGTGTCTTCTGCCTGAGCCATCCATGACCTCCCTCTTATCAGCCGCTGACACTTAACTGCACCCAGAGCTACATGCAGAGGGTGGTGTGTGTCTGCAGCTACCCTGAGATATGACTTCGCCTGCAGCACCTTGTGCCTACATGCAACCGTCGGCAAACCAAGGACGTATCGCATACACACCACTGGTGTGTCTCTGGTACAACCCAGAATGACCCGCATAGCCGTTTTCTGTATGCGCTCTAGTTTGTCCATCTGACTCTTTGAGACGGTAAGCAGTCCCAGGCCATAATTCACCACTGACAGGATCAGGTGCTGATATAGTGTAAAAAGCATTCTCTGCTCTATGTCAATTGCAGCCATAGTCTTAATTGCACTAAGTCTTTTTTGGCATCTCGTCACAACACTCTCCACATGGTCCTTAATTGACAGGCTCCTGTCAAATGTAATTCCTAGATACTTCAGTTTGCTATCTCTGTTGACGTCTCTACCATCTACTTGGGACATTAGTTTTAACTATTCTGTTGTCTAGAGAACACCACAAAACAGACGCCTTTTCTGGGTGGACGACACCACTCAGTCACTTTGTCTACTGTCGCTTGTAGCTCCAGAGCTGTTTGTTCCCTCTCTTCGCCCTGCCTATATGCAAGTATATCATCTGCAAAAGTCAGTATCCTTCCAACTCCTGGTGCTTCTAGTCTTGCATTCTTGCTCGTATACACGTTGAAGAGCACAGGCGAGATGGCGGATCCCTGTGGCAGTCCTGGGGCCAAAGAGCATGGTTCAGAGGTCCATGAGCCCAGTCAGAGAGCAACCCGACGTGAATACAGGATAGCTGCAACCCAGTTCACCAGCCATGGATTGATCTCCTTCTCCCTCAGTGCAGTCATTAGATGTCGTATCTCACTCTGTTATAAGCATCCTCGAGATCCAGTCCTACCGCCATAGTTTCCTGTCTGTTCTAGAACCCTTTATAGACGTCAAAAGCAAAAGTGGCCGCAATTGCCCAAGTGTCCTTTCCTGGCCTGTAACTTCCCAGACCTCTTGGGAGAAGCTTCCCCCTTTCCAAAAATTCTTGTAACTATCTTCTCCAAGACCTTCCCAAATGTGTTTTGTAAGGTGATGATTCTAAAACCACTAAGCTTTGTATGATCTTTAAAAGGTTTTCGTAGTGGGATTAGATAGCTGTACACCTAGTCTTTCAGTACTGATGCTGTCCAAATACTCTGGTTAAAACAGTCGGCCATCTCTGCCAGGTCTACATCGCTCAAAGCCTTCATGTGACCATACCTGACACCATCAGGCCATGGTGCAGTGTCTTTTGCTTTTTTCAAAATTTGCTTGATTTCTTCCACTTGAATCATGTCTTCATAATGCATATTCTTCAAGGTGCCAGCTAACTCCTTTCTAACTGCATCCCTGATGTCCACATCATTATGATCTGTCTGAGCTATAAACATCTAAGAAGGTTGTTGGTACACTTATACTGGAAACTCTCCCAACCTTAATACTGAACATTGTAGGTGATCACTCCCATGGTCATTCAGGACAGTCCATTTAACATCTAAAACGACGACTGAGAGACAAATGTCAAGTCAATAGCTGTGTCTGCATCTCCAGACCTCATTGCCATTCTAGTCTGCAACCCATTATTGATGCAGACCATATCGGAGTCTCCACGGTGATCCTCATCCGCATGGTGGCACTTTGTGTCATCGGGTGTTTATCGCTTGTGTGATGTCTTGGTGGGGTAGTCAGTACCCACATTTACTTTCGCATTAAAACTATATGATATTTTTTGGCAAGAGTTCAAGCAAGATGGCGGACGCCGAGGAGGTTGAAAGCGTGGAGACGACCCCAGCCAACGTTGTCGTGGTCACTAAATATAAGATGGCAGGATATATGGTTAATACCATCCTGAAAGAACTGATTGCCAAAGTTAAAGATGGAGTTACAGTCTTGGAACTTTGCGAGTTTGGTGATAGACGCCTCAGTGAGGAAACATCCAAAGTCTTCAAAAAAGACAAGGAAATGAAAAAGGGTATTGCCTTCCCTACATGTGTGTCCGTCTACAACTGTGTCTGCATTTCTCCCCACTCAAGTCTGACCCTGACTTGATCCTAAAAGACTGTGATGTTGTCAAAATAGATTTGGGTGCTCATGTTGATGACTACATAGCCGTGGCAGCCCATACTGTTGTTGTTGGTGCCTCAAAGAAGAATCCAATAACGGGAAGGAAGGCAGATGTCATCATTGCCGCACAGAAAGCTCTAGGGGTAGCTCTCAGACTTGTGAAACCTGGAAACACGAATTACGAATCAACAGATGGTATTCAGAAAGTTACAGAAGACTTCAAATGTAAACAAGTTGAAGGAATGCTCTCCCATCAGCTTAAGCAGCACATTATTGATGGACAGAAGGCAATTATATAGAACCCAAGCGAAGCTCAGAGGAAAGATCATGAATCTTGTGAGTTTGAGGTCCATCAAGTATATGCAATTGATATACTTGTCAGCTTCGGTGACGGCAAGGGAAGGGAGTTGGATACAAGAACCACAGTGTACAAAAAGAAAGACATTGTATACCAGCTGAAAATGAAGGCCTCTAGACAATTTTTGAGCGAAACAGAAAAGAAGTTTTTACTGATGCCCTTCACACTTCGGGCATTTGATGATGAGAGGAAAGCCAAGATGGGAGTGTTGGAGTGCGTTAAACAAGATCTTATGCAGCCTTTTAGTGTGCTCTATGAGCGAGAGGGTGAATTGGTAGCCCAGTACAAGCAGACTGTTATACTTATGCCCAACGGTCCACTCAAGATCAAAGGTCTTCCACTGGAGGAGGAGCTTTACAAATCTGAATATTCTGTGACAAATCCAGAATCTTTGAGCCTTCTCAACACTTCAATATCCAAAAAGGCTGCTAAAAAAGAAGGAGAAGAAAGCAGGCAAGGCTGCAGCGGAGTCTGCAGACAACGCTGATGGTGAAGATGAAGCAGAGTATTGAATCACGGCATGAGCCCTGGTTTTCTATGGTCGTTTTAATTTTATTTTAAACCTGCCTACATCTTCCATGTGTGGAATATGCCAGCTTGGATTGATGTAACTCATAATTTTGTAGCATGTTCGTTAAAGCTAGATTGTTTTTCAATAAAGTATAATGCACAGCTAAAAAAAAAAAAAAAGGTGCAGATATATGTACCTCATAATTGCAATGTGCATGATACACTGTCAAACCTCATCATTTCAATGTGCATGATACACTGTCAAACCTTATACAAACCAGTGGAAGTCAAGGGGAAATCGCCGCTGGGTTATCGCTAGTCAATCATGCCTCAGAATAATACGAATTCAGATAATGACGTGAATGGAGATTCCAGTGGAATCACCTCGTCCGGTAGGGAGCATCATGTTCTACGGGTAATACCTGATCGTCATCCAGCTACTGTAGAAAAGTAAATGGTAGAAACATCCTGAACATTGGTAAATGGAATGTTTAAACACTCGTACTAAACGGAAAGTTGGATAACATCAAGATGGAAACGAAGAGCATGAACATCAACATATTAGGAATTAGTGAAATGCGATGACCAGGAGCAGGGGAAAAGTATTCAGATCTGCACATAAATATTTACTCAGGTGGAAAGGAATATAACAAGGGAGTAGGTATTATTTTGGATCCAAAGAATTTAAAAACTGTTGAAGGATTTTGGACAATATCAGATAGAGTACTATTAGTAAAACTTTGCGGCAGACCGTTTGACATCAACTTAGTACAGATTTATGCTCCAACAGCAGATAGTTTAGAGGAAGAAATTGACGCATCTTATGACGAGTTAGACATGGCTGTTGTGAAATTGTGAAATAACAACGGTACTCGGAGATTTTAACGCGAAAATAGGAAGTGCAAAAGAGTGGCTATGGTCTAGGAGAAAAGAATGTGAGAGGTGACATATTAATAGCATGGTCTGAGTCGCACAGCACGATAATAGGTAACACCTGGTTTAAACACCATCCTCGAAGATTGTGGACTTGGAAAAGTTATGACGATAATGTCCGCAATCAGACTGATTTTATTTTGAATCAAGAAGATTCCGGAGCAGCTTAGTTGAAGCAAAAACTAGAAAAGGAGCAGATTGCTTTACTGACCATGTTCCAGTTGTAAGAAAAATTAAAATAAAACTAAAAAAAAAAAAAAACTTAGAAAAACACCACAGAACATCAAGTTAAATTTAGGATTTCTTAGAACGAATAACGAAATTAAGAAATAGTACAATGTCACTATTCAAAACAGGTATAAAGCAATGTAAATTATACAGACTATTAATGAACAGTGGGATATGTTTCGTGAGTCAATTCAGCAGACATCAAAAGAGACAATCCCACCAACCCATAGAGTTACAAAAAAGAAATGGATGTCAACTGATATTCTGCAGTTGATGGATGCAAGAACGAAGAAAAAGAATGATAAAGAGGAATGTTCTAGAATACAGAAAGAAAAAGTGAACAAATGCAAAGTGGCTAAAAAAGCCTGGCTGAATCAAATGTGTACAGAGATTGGGGAAAATCACGGGAAAGACTCACATTCCATGTACCAACAGATAAATATGTTAACAGGAAAGATTACCCGTAACAGCACTGGATGCTTAAATTCAAAACAAGGTGACTTATTAATGGGACATAGTAATATAATTAGCAGATGGACAGATTATATAGGGGGATTGTTTGCTGATAATAGACCAGATAAAGAACTGCAGACCAACAATGATGGTCCACCAATAATGACTGCAGAAGTTGAGCATGCAATACATCATATGAAGAAAGGAAAAGCACCTAGGTCAGACAACCTCTCACTGGAAAAAATAGAAGCATTGGGAGATTTTGGAACTGAAATAATAACTAAACCTTTAAATGATATTTATAATAGTGGGTATATTCCAAATGACCTTTTAAAATCCGTATTTATAGCTCTGCCAAAGAAACCAGGCACTATAAAATGTGGAGACCATCGCACAATACGTCTTATGAGTCACATGACTAAGATTTTACTGAGAATAATTTTGAGAAGAATAGGAAACACAATTAAACTAATAATCAGCGATGAACATTGTGGATTTGCAGAAGGAAAATGCACAAACAATGCCATATACATCCCAAGGACATTGTCAGAAAGAGCTATAGAAGTAAAGACTGATTTGCACATATGCTTCATAGACTATACAAAAGCATTTGACTGTGTGAAGCATAAAGAAGTAATCAAACTGTTAGAAAAATTAAACATTGATGGGAAAGATCTAAGAACAATAAAGAAAATGAACTAGCAGCAAACAGCAGCTATAAGAATTAACAACTGTTTAGGTACATTTCAAAGCATAAAGAGGGGCTTACGACAGGGATGTGTACTATCAGCTGATTTGTTTTCAATATACAGTGAGTATATAATGAGATCTTAAATTGATATGCCCCGAATTGTTGTTGGTGGGCACAATATAAACAATGTACGTTATGCTGATGACACAGTCTTGATAGCAACAGGTCAGAAAGAACTACATGGAATGATAGACATTGTGGTGTTAGAAAGTGGGAGAATGGGCCTCAGTTTGAATAATGGGAAGACAGAAGTAATGGTGTTTTATCAAAGAAACTAATTATTCCTAAATGTGTAATAATAGTCGATGGTCTTAGTTTAGGACAAGTACAGAAATTTAAGTATATGTTCACATGAATAACATCAGATGGAAGATGCATAACTGAGATGTTAAACAGAATAGGACAGGCAAAAACTGCATTTTATAAAATGAAAAATATCTTGTGCAATATATCCTTGCCACTGAGAGTTGGAAAAGAAAATCTTGCTTGCTACAGACATCTAGTTTTAACATATGGCTGTGAATCCTGGACAATCGGTGGGCAGGCCAAACAATTTCTTGAGGCCTCAGAGATGTAGTCTTACAGAAAATATGTTAAGAATACCTTGGACAGCCAAAAGGAGCAACCAAGAGGTTTTGAAAGAGACGGGAGCCCGAAGACAACTTATTACAGACATCAGGAGATAGTCATCATTGTTCGGCCATGTTATAAGAAGAGGGAAGATTGAACATGGTGTGACCACTGAAAAGATTTGTGGAAGGAGGGATAGAGGAAGGCAACTAGAGAAGATTCTTGACAGTTTTGTTGCATGACATGGAGCTGTGGCGGCACACGAACCGATACATGCTGCAAGAGATCGTGTACAATGGAGAAGCATGATCGCCCACGCCAGTCGGCAAGGATCCTGATGATGATGATGATGAATATAGTTAAAACATGTGGGTGTGGTGCAGCAACGTTACGAAGTGATCGCTCTTCATAAACACTTGTGAGATTGGTGCAGCAACGTTACGTAGTGATCGCTCTTTATAAACACATGTGAGATTGGTTCACTAACGTTACCTAGTGATTGCTCTTCGTAAACACATGTGCGACTGGTGCAGCAAGGTTATGGAGTGATCGCTCTTCATAAACACGGAAACACGGTCCACAGAAATTAGAAGGGATTTGGTTACCCGTGATTGGCATATTCTGATTCAAAGAACATTCTAGCTACCCACGCATTGCCATACAAAAATGGTTAATGCAATCAGTGTTCCACTATTTACTAATCTAAGATAGCAGTTATTATTCCTACTGAATCATAATTAGTTGCTTTTATTTGTTACCTCCATCAAGATTCAAGCACATTGATTTTACCCATACGTGCTCCGTCCTCCAATGTAGCAGCCATCTCAGGTTATCGATGTTCACTGTATAAAGTACGAGTTGACTGGCAGATCTTCTGCCTTTGCCCCGCAGTCGGTTTCTTCATGCTCGTCCTTGTTTAATACCAATGTCTTATAGGCGGTTATCGCCTCTGGCGTCATTATTCATAATTCTAAAGTTGATTGCTTGCTGTGACTTATAACTGAAACCCACAGCCCGTGTCTGCACAGAGATAAAACTGAGGTGACAAAAAAGGAACATACGGTTCATATTATATATTTGACTTTATCAAGAATAGTAGAGACTCAACTAAGAAAGCCATTATAAGCCCTTTAAAGGAAACTGATCAGTTAGCTCTAATGATGCAGGGTTTAAACAAGAGGCCAGCTAGTCGACTCTTGTGGGAATACATTTACTGCCCAATGTCGGAAATAAAGCAACACACAAACACACGTTACAAGCAGCACATTCTCCGAGGATGTTATGAGACTGTACAATGCTACGAGAACATGGTTACCAGTTATTCTCTGTCTCTGGGACTTGAGTTGCCACCATTACATTGGCATCCGTGTTTTACAGAAAGTAAAGAAAACACTAACAAGGAAGGACATCTGTTCCCTCCACTGGGCTATTGGATATGTGATGTTAGACACCATTTTTGTATAGCCCAGTCGATTCACGTCGGCGTCTGTGGCTTAGGCGTTGAGAACACGCTTTGTGAGGCAGGGGTGTCGGGTTCGATCCCAGCTGCGGACGATTTGTCTTGCGTAGGGTTTGACATTGGTACTGGGAGCTGACCGTTGAGTAAGCAATGGCAAACTCATCATCGTCATCATGTAGCAAGTCTTTTGCAGAACGTCGCTCTCATCACAGTCTGCCTGTAAGAAACTAGGTCTCTTGCCAGTTCTCCCGCCTCATGAACTTTCATACTCAAGGAGTCACTTATAGCCTGTACCCATCTTCGTGTCGGTCGGCCCTTGCCCCTCCTTCCTGGAACCATGCCTTCTGCCATACTTTTTTCCAATCCATCATGGCACTTGATATGACTAAAATATTTCAGCTTTCGAGAAAGGATGCTGTTTATTAGCCAATCTTCCTTGATGTTCAGATCTTTTCAGATGTCAATATTTCTCATCTTCTTTGTCCAAGATATTCTGATATTCTTTTTATAGCATTTCAGCTCAAAAGCCCCTATTCTCTTTCTTAAGGACTGAGAGATAGTCCACGACTCGCATGCGTATGTAGCCACAGGGAAGATGAATGCTCTCA